CGTTAGACCATTGACCTCGCATCCCTACAAAGCCGGGACGGAGCACGCCGGGTTCTCACCGGACGGGCTCCGGCAGGGGGGGTGTTTTTAGAAAGTATACGCTGGCCGTTCGAGAAAAGTTTTTTGTTGTTGTTGTTCGGGTTTTGGGGCGGGGCGGGTGATTCGTCAAGATAGATAGACTAAAGGTGCGGCGCGACTCATAGGATACTTTGATAGTTTACGCTCTGTTACATTGCTGAGAAGTGAAGAAGAAGCGTTTGAAACGCTGGGGCATCTGAGATGGGATACAACGCTACTCCCAGCGATGTCAGCGGTAGACTGTCTCTCTCTGTTGTGTGTTTTTTCAGCGACCGATACCGCGACACCTCGGCTGGATGAACGTTGCAAGGTCCTTTCACACCGTCAACCGAAGTCCACTTTCCGCCGCAATGAGCGGTGGAAGCCCTTCCCTCTCTGCACCCGGGCTTGCTCTCATGATGAACCTTACGCTGTTGTATTTCCTGCATTTGAAAGCCGTCGATAAATGCGGGTATCCTTCTCTCATCCTCGCACACACGCACCACCGAATGGCTGAAGCCGTTTCACCAACGTATCAAAACTGATTAATAATCCGAATGACTCAATGTTGACTATGGGCTCTACTACGCTGCTACTACCGGGTGCAACCCCCTGTGCCTATGTGCGGCGCGACGACCTTTGTCTCCACCACCTGAGGTTTGGGTTCAGGACGACCAGCGAGTATTCGCGGAGAGCAGACATTCGAGGGAAGACGGCCCGGTCTTGATCGGCTTGAACGAGACCTCGAGGGGCTGCATTGGGAAAGAACTTGCCGATTTCGTTTGAAGTATTGTCAGAATGTCGCCACTACGCTGCAATGCAATTATGTTGTGTGCCTCGATGCAGGCAGGTGGATGGCGTGAGGGGGGTAGCCTGACGGTTTGAAAGAAGTACTGGCATGATAGTTTATCTGATGTCCCTTCTGTACAAAATGAGAACGACCGAAAACAGCGCGATGAACCTGCTAGTGTCCTATCAACGTGCAAGGGCAAAATAACAGAACAAACGCGAAAAGAAACGAGCAGGAATTCTCGCCAGGCTGAACAACCAACGCTCACCTGGTGCTTGAAAACGAAGGCCAATAACGCGTCCACCAGGAACAGGATGACAGCGAGCATCACCACGTACTTCACGTGACCATCAGGAGGAAAACAAGACAGATGTGTGAGGGTTAATACATGGTGGCTTCTGAAATGTGTCCCCAAACCGTGCTTCATAATTCCACGTGACCTGCGAGGGGAGGAGTCGGTGAGGTTTGCCCTGGCACGTTTCAACCATGGTCTTTCGAGTCGCTGGGTCTAGGGAACTTTGAAGTGTCCTCCTAGTGTTTTCAGGATGGGCATATGCGCTGCACGATTCTCGCCAATACTTGTGGTTCGTGGTTGCAACGATGTGAAGGACGAGGTAGTGCTTCCAATCCTGTGGCGAAACACTTGTTCATGTCCAAAAACATCATTTTGCCCCCCCCCC